TACTAAAAATTCTTTATTATTTACCTGAAATTAAGGTATTAAGGAGGGCACATACTGCATGGAGCACTGGGTGTTATATAAAAACAATGAATCATGGATCACTATATCAAAAACTAATGATGTATTGTATGGTGACTAACATAACAATAAAATAACATGAAAAAAAAGAAAAATTCTATCTGTGCATAGTGGTTTCAGTTCATGCCCACGAGTTCCGTTTCTATCTTGTCTTACCAGCTCTCCCAACTGAATAAGCCAATTCTTTGCAATAAATCTCTTAGTATATATCTCCTACTTGTTCTGTTTCTCTGGTTGAACCCCAATACACCCAGTTTCTGCGAAAAGGTAATAGTATGAAAAAAGGAGGGGAGGAGGATTGCTCTCAATTAAAAGAAATTTCAAATATAACCACCAAAATGTAATGAGAGTACAAATTTACTACCTGTAAAGGACATATTTTAGATAATCTGGGGAATATAATTATGAACTGGCTGCTTCTAGTCCTTGTTTTCCATGTAGCAGAGTGATAAACTGACCCGGGTTTTTCTCTCTGGGAGTAAACTTTGTCATTTCCCATTGGTCTGTCCGTGGCAACAAGGACCCAAAAGACCAAGGTGGATAGCTCCCAGGATTGGAGCAAGTATTCTCTATGTTGTTCTTGAACTTTCTGTCTTCATTTCCCCTGGCCCTGTCAGTATACATTGGCTTGATCTTTCCTTGCATTATACATGATAATGGTAAGGTTTGAGTTTTGCACTTGCATAAGGAGAAACGTGACTTCTTTGCTCTGCAGTTATTAGGCCTACCTGGCTTAGAAAAAAAAAAAAAAAACAAAAACAGACTTCCACCTGGAAGAGTTTAAAGGAGAGAGACAGCTGATTGATAGTATTAAAACACTGATGTGACAGGATGTGACAGCTAGGGAAGAGAATGATAACTTGTCTCCTAGCCAAAAGAGGTTGTTAGGGAAGTAGACTCCTTTGATTTCAGTAAGGTAGAAAGTGTTCAAAGGAAAAGCAGATAATGGCAGAGTTGTTGGCAAGAGAATGGGAATTCCTGAGGTCAAACTGAGATAGCTAAGGCAGAGAGAAAGCTAGCTTGAGGTAGTGAAGATGAGGTATGCTAAAGGAAAGTGAACTATAAAGAGTTGCAGAGATCAGTGATCATAGGACATGGCAATAAAGGATTACAGGGGGGAGTGTTAGGAGGTGGTTTGGAATGACATGGTAATAATGGGGGTAGGCAGTATACAGAATGACTCTCCTCAAGATCCAGGTAGATCTTTGAGGCAATGGGATGGTAAAATCATCCATTTAAAATGAGTTCCCTAACACTGGGGTCCATTTTGTTGGTATGTTCTGGCCTAATACTGAACACCAGCACCTTTATGGTATAGACTTAATAATGTTTCAGGTTGCTTGGTTTGGCAGCAAGATACAAGATGGACCGAATAAATATGTTTCAGAATAAGTTGATTGGCTAAGATGTTATTATACTAATCTATCTGTCAGATACCAAGGAATTTATATTGAGATGATAGTATGGAATGGGTTAAGCCTAATAGTAGAAATATAATGCAGTAGCTAAAACCTGAGGTTCTGAAATCAGATAGTGGATTTGAATCCCTGATCTACCATTTATGAACTATGTGACCTTAGGCAATTTATTTAACCTCTCTAGGACCGTTTTCTATAAAATTGAGATGATACTGATATCTAACTTTTAGGGCTATTGTGAGGCTTACATGAGATAATACATATAGAATACTTTTGGTACCTGGCACACACTAAGAACTCAAAAAAAAAAAAAGGATAAAAAAAAAAACTAGAAGAAATTATAAAGAAAGTACAGGATACCATGACAGAATGCTTTAGGAGACAGAAAGAAATCTCTTCATATGATTTAGCCTGGGAAACAAGAAGGAATACTGAAGCTCCTTTGATACAGAGATTGTTGAATTCAGGTGCCCATTACTGTAGTGTATTCATTCCTCTGGGAAATACTCTATATAAATATGGAAATACAGGATTAGAACACTAATGAAGGATAACAATTGGCAATGTTGATTAGGAAATCATCTGAACATAGATGATAATTGAAGCTATGAGTGCCTGAGTTCCCCAAATTTTCAAAAATAAAAGCAGAAAACTGAGGACAGAGCTTGAGAAGAAATAACCAGAAGGGAAAAAAAAAACCTCAAAGTGTATCATCCTAGAAGATGATGAAGCTTTAATCTTAATTACAGGTAGTCAGTTGTTCCTCTGTATTCTACACTAATAAAATTAAAAGCAGTAATGTATTGAGGAAAAGCACTACACTCACTAATGGCCAGGAAATCCAGATTCTAACCCAGTTTAGTTAATTTGCTCTGTGGTCCATAGGTGAATCATTTCTCATCTTTGGATCTCAGTTTCCTCCTCTATAAATGAAGAATGTTGGACCAAATCATTTATTAGTTCTTTTAACTTCATGATTTTATGAATAAATACAGGAAGTTAAAAATGTTTACAATCCCAAACCACTCAGAGCCTTCCTCATATATTCCCACATTCCTGTCACAGATGTTTAGTGACCTTACAAAAAGCAGGAGGCATTGGACATACTTTCCTAGAAAAAGAGTTTCAAAAGTCTCTCAAATTTTCCTGGTCTTCACTACAGGGCTGTGTTTACTACAATTTTATTGAAGTCTCTGTATTTTAATGGGCAAATACCTATGTAAAATATGAAAATCTGAATATGCATCACAAATTGTAAGATTCATTACAAAAGGATCCATTCTTCTTATAAAAGGATTAACTTAGTGGTTTCTTCTTCCATAACTCTTACTATTTATACTTACGGATTCCTACAAACATTTCCCTACACCTTTTTTATATGTAAGAAAAATAAAGGTTTCCTTGGCCTGCTACAAAATAACTTCATAATTCCTATTTCAGAATTTCTAATCTCTTCTATTACAGTTTTTAAGATAATCCTTATTTCTGTCTTATGGTTTTATTATTTTAGTTAAATCATTATGCTTTGGCAAGTTCAAAAAAACTGTAATGATGAGAAGAAATTATCTAGAGATGTTGATAATAATACTAATTTTAAAATATTTTATTCTTGTAGTCTCTCCTATAGTGCAATCTTCACTACACTCTCCATGAAGTATAAAAAGGACTACTTGAATTTTATAAATTGAAAGCAATTTGCAGTGATATTCTCACTCCCAGGCTCAGATTAGGCTGTAATATTAAGCCTTTTAAAATTTAAATAGGTATGTTTTTCCCTCCCAACTTTATTGAGGTATAATTTGCATATAATAAACTACATATGATAAAAGTATACAATTTGAGATCTGACTTATGTATACATCTGTGAAACCATCACTACAATCAAGAAAATTAACATGTCTATCACTACAAAATGTTTCCCCCTTTGTGATACTGCCCTCCCACCCATTTCCATGCCCCATTTTTCATCCCTCCCATCCCACTGATCTGCAACCACTGATCTGCTTTTATCACTATAAATTGGATTTTCTAGAATGTTTTATCAATGGAATCACACAGTATGTATTCTTTTTTGTCTGGCTTCTTTCACTCAGAATAACTATTCTGAGATTCATCCATGTTCCTGAGTCTATCTATTGTTCATTTCTTCTTATTGTCAAGTAGTATTCCATTGTGTGGATATACCACAATGTGTTTCCATTCACCTGTTGATGGGCATTTGGGCTGTTTCTAGTTTGGGTCTATCACAAATAATGCTGCAATGAATATTCGTAGTCTTTGTGGGTGAATACCTAGGAGTGGAATGGCTGGATCATATGGTAGGTGTATGTTTAGCTTTTAAAGAAATGGTCAAATTTACACTTTAAGAAATGGTCCAAACTTCCAAAATAGTTACATCATTTTATACTCCCAAAATGCAGTATATACAAATTCCAATTGTTCCACATCCTTGCCAACAATTTGTATGATCAGCCTTTTTAATTTTAGCCATTCTGTGACTAGGGTGTGCAGTGATATCTCATTGTACTTCTACTTTGCATTTCCCTGATGACTAATGATGTTAAGCATCTTCTCATGTGTCTATTTTGTCATCAATACATCTTCTTCCGTGAAGTGTCTGTTTAAATTTGATGCCCAATTTTAAAAAATTGGGTTCCCTCCTTACTGACTTGTAAGAGTTCTTTATATATCCTAATTAGAAGTCCTTTATCAAATATATGCTTTGCAAATACTTTCTCCCAGTCTATGGCTTGCCTTTTTACTTTATTAAGTATGTTTTGAAAAGAAGTTTTAATTTTGATAAAGTAAAACTTATTAATTTTTTCTCTTTTAAGATTTATGCTTTTTGTGCCATGTTTAAGAAATCTTTGCCAAATCCAAAGTAACTGAGTTTTTTCCTTATATTCTAGTCTATGAGTTTTATAATTTAGAAAATTTAATTGATTTTCCTGTTTCTTCAACTGTAAAATGAAGGTGTTAATAATACCTACCTCATAGGATTGCTATGAGGATTAAATTAATACCTTTAAAGTACTTAGAACAGGGCTTTTCTAATGGTCAATAAATATTATCCATTATTAGAGGGCAGGATTAATTCTTCACAGTATAAATCTACAAATGATTGAAGGACAAGTGTCCAAACATTAAGAATCATAAATAGTTTAATTTAGCTGCTAAGTAGCTTAATTTAGTTTAAGCTACTATAAGTAGTTTAAACCTGAGTTTAAATCCTTGCTCTGCTGTTCACTGCCTGTGTAACTTTGGGCAAACTACTTAAACAAGAGCAGTGCCTGGAAGGTGACCTAGTATAGTACGTGGCACACAACAGATGCTTAAGGGACAGCAATAGTATCACCAGCATTTGTTCATAGTAATTGCTGCCATTTATGAGGGCTTACCTTTTGGGACCCTGTGCTAATTACTTTCCATACAGTCTTTTATGCTTCTTAACCTAGCTAGGTGAGTATAATCGGCCCCATCTCATGGTAAAGTAACAAGATTTACCTTTGTGCAGCTATGACCAGGGGGAGGTTGGAGGCCTAATAAGGAGGGGCTTGGACTCCAACCCTTGCCCAAACCCGGGATTTACAGTGCGGCCTTTGTCACCAGCTGGGCCCTCGACAGCGGCTCGGGAGATGGCGCCAGGAGAGGCGGCAGCCGGCCAGGCCGGAGCCAAGGCCACCTCACAGAGCCGCGCCTCAAAGAGCCTGCCAGGCGTGGCTTCTCCCGCCGCCTCTCGGGCACGGCCCACTCCTGGGCCTCCACCCTCCCTTCGCAGACGGCTTCCGGGGCTCGGGCGTCGAAGGTGCTCAGACAAAGCGGCGCGAGAGCGCGGGAGCGCGGGAGCGCAGAACTGCGGTGAGAGGTTGGGCACCGTTTCCAGGCAACACGCTGGGGGCAGGGCTTCTGCGTCACTGAGGTGCGACCCAGTCGCAGGCCGAGCTAGCGTCGCCGCCGCCTGCGGGTCTGAGCTGCGGGCTGAGGCGGAGCTGCTACCGCCGGAAGCGCGATGCCTTGAACCTGGGGTGAGCTGCGCGGGGCTGTCCTTTCGCCGTTTCCTTTCCTTGTTACTCCGAGACCCTAGGGCTGGGAGGAGAAACACCGGCCAGTCCTCAGCTGCTCAGAGGCGCTTCATTGGGGAAACAGGCCTGGCCCCGCCACCCTTCCTAGGCCTCGGCTTAGGGCTCAGCGCTGGCTTGGGAGGCCTTTCCGTGGACGCTATGTCCCCAACCCGACAGTTTCCAGTGACCAGGGCTGCAGATGGCCCGTCCCGGAGGAGGGGTGATTCTGTGGAACCAGGAGAGAGTTTGTCCTCCTTGAGCCGGGAACCGCTTTTGAATATTGCCGCCGGCGCAGTCAGTGAGCCAGCGGACATAGCTGTTGGTTAAAAGTGCAGGTGCGCTTGAGGAGGGGCAGAGGCGGCTAGGATGGCCGGAGGGTGGCGGTGTGCATAGCAAACACACCGATGCTGCAGAAACCTATGTGCCCCTGCCGCATTGGACACCCCAGATTAGAAACCCTTGCCTCAGGCGATAGCTCAGAAATGGCCAGGTCGGTCTGCTTAGCTGGCCCTCCATTGCTAAATTATCTTACACTGCCCATCTTCCCAAAGGGCTTACCTGGTCGAACCAGCTACCTTGGCCCCGTCGGAGACAAAAAGTTACCTTGCTAATAGTTGTAGTAACTATTCCTGCAAAGGAAGCCTTCTGTGTTAGCTTTTGAAGTGATTTATTCTTTTATGTGTATTGTATTACAAAATGTGGATTTACTGCTGTTATTCAAATTTATCCCCAGCCCTTTTATTAAATTTCAGTCTATGTTCTTCGCTCTGGTGTATTTATAAAGCTGCCTTAACACTTACTATGGTTTGTAAGTCTTAGATCTTCTGCATAAAGTTATTCTTTTCCAGCTCTCCTCTGCCCATTCTTGCTATAAAATAAGTTCCATCCATTCAGAATTTCATCTGGGCTATGAGGTGCCGTGGATCAACGATCCTAAATCAGTAACCTCTGTACTGGAAAAAAAAAAAAAGAAGTGATGCTTTCTGAATTAAGAACTCAAAAGTAGTATGGGTCTTTCTCCTTTCCTTTGATTCTGCCTGACTGCAGTTTCTAAGTAGTTTTCTCCAGAATATGATCGTAGGTTTCCAAAATGTGTTCTTTGTCATTTGGTGTAAGTGAACTGTGTAGCCTGATCCTTCTTACTTCATGTCTAAACACTTTATACACTTCCCTTCCCCTTCTCCCAAAAAGGCAGGGAAGGTCCAGAGAGAGTTCTTACAAGTATAGTTGGTGTGTTTTTCTAAATATGAAATGTATTTAGTAAACACAGCAGTGCTATCAGAAATCCATAGTCTTAATCTTAAGTACTCTTTTTGTAATTTTTCTTTCTATAATTTTTTTTTCTAATTAAGATCTTTGAGCCCAGAACAAGTATTCCAGCTCCTATAGTAACTGGTCTAATTGTTTCCTTAGAATCTGTTAATAGTTGCTATTAATTTCTTGTCTTGCCGAACAGCTGATATCTGCTTACAGATCTAGAGTTTGATTAAGCAGTGAGTAATAAAATAAATAATTCGCTTAAGGATCTAGTTTTTAGAACTTAGTTTTTACTACTGATGTTAAAGCTGACTTAACAATGAAAGTAGTTGATGATTATTTCAATTATAAATATCATTTTTGTAAGTAAAGAAGTCGATACAAAAATTCATGGAGAACAGGTTTCAGAGAGGTTTTCTAAATACTACAGTACTTGTCACCTAGTCATTTTACTGTACTTTCAGGCTTCTTAACATTGCTTTAAATCCTTTTATGAATGGATATGGTTTAAACATTCATGGAAGTTTTTGCTTTGTTTTGTTTTTTGTTTTGCCAGTTACCCATGATGTGATTTTTATATCTTTGTAATGAATATTTGAACTACAACAATTCATTTGTTAGAAAAAGAAGTGATCAAGTGTATGTTACCACCCACTAGAGAATGTGGCATTTTTGGAATCCTTGACATCCTTATGAGTTTCAAAATAACATTTGTTCTTTATTTAGAAAATCCTTCAATCCTGGTTTTTTGAAAGCACAATACAGGCATACCTTGGAGATATTGCAGGTTCAGTAACAGACCACCACAGTAAAGTGAATATTGCAGTAAAGCGAGTCAAATGAATTTTTTGGTTTCCCAGAGCATGTAAAAGTTATGTTTACACTATACTGTAGTCTATTTAAAGTGTGCAACAGCATTATGTCTTAAAAAAAACAATGTATATACCTTAATTTAAAAAATACTTTATTGCTAAAAAATGCTAACCATCATCTGAGCTTCCAGCAAGTCGTAATTTTTTTTTTTGCTGGTGGAAGGTCTTGCCTCAGTGTTGATGGCTGTTGATTGATCAGGGTGGTGGTTGAAGGTTGGGGTGGCTATGGCAATTTCTTAAACTAAGACAGTAATTAAGTTTGCCTCATCAATTGACTCTTGCTTTCATGAATGATTTCTCTCTAGCATGTAATGTTAACAAAATTGGAGTCAATTTTCAAATTGACTTCTCAAATCCTGCCACTGCTTTACCAACTAAGTTTATATAATATTCTAAATCCTTTGTTTTCATTTAAACAGTCTTTACCACATCTTCACTAGAAATAGATTCTATCTCAAGAAACCACTTTCTTTGCTCATCCATAAGAAGCAACTCCTCATCCATTGATGTTTTGTCATGAGATTGCAGCAATTCATTCACATCTTCAGACTCTACTTCTAATTCTCGTTCTCTTGCTCTTTCCACCACATCTGCAGTTATCTCCTCCACTAAAGTCTTATACCCCTCAAAGTCATCCATAAGGGTTAGAATCAACTTCTTGCAAACTTCTGTTCACATTGATATTTTCACTTCTTCCCATGAATCATGAATGTTCTTAACGGATCTGGAATGGTGAATCATTTCCAGAAGATTTTCATTTGACTTTGCCCCGGATCCATCAGAGGAATTGCTATCTGTGGTAGCTATAGCCTCACAAAATGTTAACGAATAAGACTTGAAATTACTCCTTAATCCATGGGCTACAGAATGGATGTTGTGTCAGCAGGCATGAAAACAATATTAATCTCACTGTACATCTCCATCAGAGCTCTTGGGTGACCAGGTGCATTGTCAATGAGCAGTAATAATTTGAAAGGAATCCTTTTTTCTGAGCAGTACGTCTCTACAGTGGGCCTAAAAAATTTAGTAAGCCATATTGTAAACAGTTGTGCTATCATCCAGACTTTATTGTTCCATTTTTAGAGCATAGGCAGAGTAGATTGAGCATAATTCCTAAGGGCCCTCAGATGATTGGAATGGTAACTGAGCATTGGCTTCAATTTAAAGTCACCAACTGCAGGGGCGCCTGGGTGGCTCAGTCGTTAAGCATCTGCCTTCGGCTCAGGTCATGATCCCAGGGTCCTGGGATTGAGCCCGGAATTGGGCTCCCTCCTCGGTGGGAAGCCTGCTTCTCCCTTTCCCACTCCTCCTGCTTGTGTTCCCTCTCTCGCTGTCTCTGTCTATCAAATAAATAAATACAATCTTTAAAAAATAAAGTAAATAAAGTCACCAACTGCAGGGGCGCCTGGGTGGCTCAGTCAGTTAAGTATCGGATCAGTTAAGCATTCAGCTCAGATCATGATACCAGGGTCCTGGGATTGAGCTTCTCCCTGTCCCTCCGCCAACTGCCCCTGCTTGCACTCTCTCTCTCTCAAATAAATAAATAAAATCTTAAAAAAAAAAAAAGTCACCAACTGCATTAGCCCCTAATAAGAGAGCCAGCCTGTCCTTTGAAGCTTTGAAGCCGGGCATTGACTTCTCCTTTCTAGCTATGAAAGTCCTAGAGGACATCTTCCAACAGAAGACTGTTTGATCTACACTGAAAGTCTGTTGTTTAGTGTAGCCACCTTCATGACTTATCTGAGCTAGATCTTCTGGATAACTTGCTGCAGCTTCTATATCAGCACTTGCTGCTTTACCTTGCACTTGAATGTTACAGAGATGACTTCTTTCTTTAAACCTCATGAACCAACCTCTGCTTGCTTCAAACTTTTCTTCTGCAGCTTCCTCACCACGCTCAGCCTTCATAGAATGGGAAGGTGGTTAGGACCGTGCTCTGGATTAGGCTCTGGCTTAAGGGAATGGTGTGGCTGGTTCGATCCTCTATCTAAACCACTAAAACTTTCTCCATATCAGCAATGAAGCTGTTTCACTTTCTTATCATTTGTGTTTTCCCTGGAGTAGCACTTTTAATTTCTTTCAAGAACGTTTCCTTTTGCATTCACAACTTGGTTAACTGGTGCAAGAGGCCTAGCTTTGGGCCTGTTTCAGCTTTCGACATGTCTTCTTTATTAAGCTTAATCAGTTCTAGCTTTTGACTTAAAGTGAGAGATGAGTGACTCTTCCTTTCACTTAAACACTTAGAGGCTGTTGTAGGGTTATTAATTTGCCTAATTTCAATATTGTTGTGTCTCAGGGAATGGGGAGGCTAATGGAGAAGGAGAGAGATCAGGGGAACAGCTAGTCCATGGAGCAGTCAGAATATACACAACATTTATCAGTTAAGTTTGCTATCTTATATGGGTGCAGTTCATGGCACCCCAAAACAATTGCAATAGTAACCTCAAAGATCACTGATCACAGATTACCATAACAAATATAATAATAATGAAAAAGTTTTAAATATTGCAAGAATTACTAAAATGTTACAACAAATGAAGTGAGCAAATGCTTTTGGAAAAATGGCACCAATAGACTTGCTCCATGCAGGTTGCCACAAACCTTCAATTTGGGGTTGGGGGTGGAAAGGCAATATTTGTGAAGCACAGTAAAGCCACGTGCAATAAAACAAGGTGTGCCT